ATTTCAAATAATGACAAGAAAACCCCATGAACGCGTGAGAGCCGTTAACAGCAGACACTCTTGTTTGAGACAGTACTGGAAACACCAACACAAACACAAACAGACAACATGTAGACATGTCACCGCACGATATGATAACGTTTGCGAAAGTTTCATTTTCAGTCAAAAGGCTGAGAGAGTGAGCGACACAGGTTTGGTTCTTTAATCCTAGAAAGGCAGAGAAAAAAAAAACAGAGTCGCAGATGAGTCTCAATTATTAGAAATCATTCCAGGGTTAAAGGAAAGTGTGCAGTTGTTGTCTGAGAGGAAACAGAGTGTGATGGTTATTTTCCAGAACTGCTTCATCACTACATTGTCATGTGCCCCCTGTCTCACCAGCATCCTCCACATCTACACTGCCAAAGGACTGAGGGAGTATGCTTATGCTGCTGCTGAGAGACTGAGGGAGGTCGGCAAGCTCGATGCCAAAGAACATAAGGGGAAGGTACGGAAGAAAAATGACAACTTTTCAAGTTGGCTCTCCTGAGTTTCCCTCAAAGATTAATAAACGTGTCATTCCGCAGACCGCACTGCTGGTGGCAGTAACAGCAAACCAGCCGGAGATCGTCCAGGATCTGCTGTTATTAGGAGCAGACATCAATGCTTGTGATGTGCACGGACAGACTGCCCTTCATCTCGCCGTCCACTATGGGTTTCCCAGGGTTGTGCAGGTAAAGCACCAAAACGGGCCACGTTACCCTGGCATCGGCTGTGCTGTCGTCAGCTGACCTCAACGGCTTTGCTTTTTTTGCAGGCGATTCTGTTAAGCAGACCTGACATCAACCTAGAGGCTCGCAATTTTGAAGGTAAATGGGATTCAACAGAAGTCGTGTCAATCTCACTGCGATTTTTTAGGCTGCAATATCCACAATGTGACGAAAAATATAACTTTCTATAAATGAAATTAAATCATGGAGTCGGACCCATAACCTATGTCAAATCTTTGCAACATCAAGGAAAAGTTTGTCCTTCAGGCGGCGCTACTCTGACTGTTTAAACCACAGTTGATGAGTGGATTGTGCGGCCCTAAAAGTATATATATAAGTATATATATATATATATGTACATATATATATATATATATATAGTAATATTTTTTTCTTATGTTTACTAAATATTTTTCCAATAATTTTCAATTTTCAATTGGATTAAAATTTTTGATCTTTGCTCTGGTCTCAGAAAAGGTTACTGTTCGAACTTTTTGGAACTTTTTGACCTATATTTTCAATTGACAAAAGGTTATTAAAGTTCTATTTTTGGCCTTTTTTCATGTAGTATCATCCTCTTACTGTAGCTGTAATACCCCCAAATACCAATATGTGTAAAATAACCCGTGTCCCTCGCAGTTGCACTCAGCACCTTCTCCTCCGTCTCTGTCTCAGGTATGACTGCTCTACACTGTGCAGTCATTTCTCACAGCATCACTATGAAGGCTCTGTTTGCCAGTGGGCAGGTGGATGTTAATCTTCAAACCCAGGCGGCAGAGAAACTCTCCTGTGTGCAGAGGCTGCTCAAAGCTGGAGCATCTGTGTGCAGCCAGGTACTGTACAGATTTTCTGACAGTCACATGATAAAACGCTCTCACAGACATCAAAGTTCAGCTGACCTTTCAGACCACAAACATGAGCTGGGGAAGTGCCCGGGTTTTATCTGTCTATGACAAGGTCACCATAGGAATCATTTCCCAACCTCACTGTCTGTTTTCACTTTCTATGCACTGCTTTTAACTCTGCTTTTCTAAATTCCAGGAAATCAAAAGTAACAAGACTGTGCTTCACTTGGCCGTGAAGGAGGGGAACATTGACCTGGTGGATTATCTGCTGAGGATTTCCCTGCCTAAAATGAAAGAGTTTGTCAACATGAAAGTGAGTTCCACACCGAGAAGACTCTCAGAATTACAGTTCACATCGGCCCACGACAAGTTTGTTTATGTGAATTCACCAAGGCAAAAAAAATCTACGATAATTATTTCACACTGTTGACACTACACAAGCAGCTCAGGAAATGACCTCACTACAATTAGAAACAGAGGAAAGCCAAAAGGAGAATATGCCAGCAGAGGGCAACGCCATGCAAATGAAAACAGCGCCCTCTATCATGAAAGGCCAAAATGCTTTAAGATAAATTGAAAATAAAAATCTTAATCTATACATTATTTTAAAAAAAAGGCTATTTCTCTACATATTATTCACCCCACCACCATCACACTGCACACCTGCATGGTGTAAAACACAGTCTCACTCTCTCACACACACTCACTCAAATTGCCCCAAGAAAGTGCAATATCATCTGTTTCAGTGCAATAACAAGTCGTAGAGCTGTGATGGAAATTACAGCATCTTCCGGTATAAATATGGAAAGTACATATTTTCGTAAAAGGTATTTTGATATTTTTAGTCAAAAACACTTGACCTCAATTGACAAATTGAAACTGATATAGTATTTATAGTGTTTTATCCAACATTTTCTATATATATATTTTCTTTATAATTAAAATTGACTGAATTTTGGTAAAAAATAAATATTTATTTAAACTCAAATTCTGGCCTTTAAACTGTAAAACATCGTCACGTATTCAAGTAGAATATTTTGTGGTTGATAAAACAGCTTTTTTTTTAAAAAAAGTATACATCTCGAAAACTTTTGTGCTATTCTGATATATTTTTATGTAATTGTATGTGTTGTGGTTAGTTTATTTTATTCTAAATGGCAACTACTGACCATTGAGTTTATATTATCTCTATACTATTTAGTGGAGAGACTTGTCTTTCCTTTTTGCCGATGCAACATGTGAATTTCCCTTGTGTGGGATCAGTGAAGTCAACCCTAATCTAATCTTAGATATTTTGGCTACATTTATGCACACACACACATAATCTGCCGTCCCACAAAACAGACAAACACTTTTGAAGTTACACCATGGCAAGAGCAATCAAAGCCCAGCTGGTTATTCTTTCAAAGTTGAAAGTACATGTCGTGTGGCTTTCCAAACCTTGATGATATTATTAGAACATTTTCAGATAAAAATGACTCTTGTTCCTGTCACACAAACACACCCACATGAGAAGGTACGTATCCATAGAAGCAAATACACAAGACAATACACCTACATTCACACACTGAGGGAGGAGCCACTGCTACTCACCATGTATCCACAAAACATGACTGCAAAATATACTTGCGTATATATTTTCAAAACTACAGTCAGTATAGTATGAATATTCCATATCTTGGCTATGGAAATGTCAAAAACACATATATATATATTAGAACTGCCATTATCTGCCATTATCACATTAAATTAACCAAACCCATGATGGTTTAAAAAAATTCTGATTTCACAGTCAATCGATCTGGTTCAAAACACGAGTCTCTCTGTAAGTTCAACGACGTAAACAAACCCGCTGCATTTCCCTCTCTGTGCCGCAGGCTCACGGCCACACAGCTCTACATATGGCAGCTGGTCTCCATGGTAACCCCCACCAGAAGGAGATCCTGCGGCTGCTGCTGAGAAAAGGGGCTGATCCCAGTATCCGCAACCTGGAGAACGACCAGCCTGTTCACCTGCTGCAGAGCGGCGAGCAGGGAGAGCAGGTGAGCCCTCACGGCCGTCTTTTTACTGGGGTCTACACTGTAAACAATCCTCCTCATTCACAACCATGTCTTTTCAATCTAGCTGAAGCTGATGCTGAAGAAGCGAGGAGCTTCCTCTCGTCGACGTAACGTGTCCTTGCAGGACCAGGAATTTAATTAACCACTTGTTATCTTCATTTGGAAGGAAAGGGTCGATAGCAGAGGTTGCCTCTGTTGAGAAGAGGACGGACTGTTTATTGTACTGGGAGTCTGGGGCCTATTATATATATATTATATTATTAACAAAGTCGTCCGGCTGATTAATCTCTGTTTATTCACAGTGGGTTTGAAATAGTTTGCTTTAATACATAAAGCTTTAAATTATTTGAGACGTATTGACTGTCATCACGCTGTACTTTATTTATATAAACAAGACTAACATGTAGCTGAAAATGTTGGATTCTAAAAATTGTTTTTAAAAAACATTTTTTTCTTGGTATTTTAAGTGACTTTTAAGTGATTTTAAGTTTAAAACAACATTATTTATTTGAAAAGGTAAGAAGCTAAAGTTAATCTACAAAGTTGAGTAATAACAAACTGTAGACTACAATTATTGTATTAGGTTTGCCTCCTGGTTTTATGTTGATTTCTATGAAATCGTTGGCGGGACAGTATCTCTGACTCCCCCTCTTGGACTTTCTTGTCCAACCCACTCATCATGATACGTTATCATATTGATACACTAAGTGATGGTATTCATTTTAAATTTTATGTTAAAAAAAACAAACAATAACAGTGATCCATTGGAAATCAATGCTTTTTGAAGAAGTGTCACTTCTGACATTGTTTGTTTAAAGGTGAAACAAAAAGAAAAATAGTTTACTATGTAAAACGACTATGTATTTTAAACCAAATGACTAATGACCTGATGAATCAGTGTAGTGTGGTTGTGATGAGTCACAAAAAATAGAGTAGAATAAAGGTGTATTTTAAACACGGTCTGAATGTTCTGTTATAAAAGTCCCATTCAGACACAGGTACCAGACATCAACACCACGGAAAATACTACAGCATCACACTACTACAAAGTAGTAGACTTCACCACCACAGTTATTCAACATTCACTTATTTACACAGACATTGACTCATGACCTTTAGTCACGGTGAAATTGGCTTCCCTTTTAGCTGTGAAGTGACTGATTTGTTTTTGCCTTGTCTCCCTGACACGTGCCACCTCTGTTATTAGACATTTTGTGAATTCCTGTAAAAGGAAAATCTGATTCATTGCTGAATAACATTATAGTTTTTCATTTTACCTCAACCCTTTCAAGCACCACAAGTCCCTACTTTACATAAATACATTACAAATGCATGGCACACTGGTTATGTTTTTTTTTTTTTAATTTTTTGTTTGTTTTGTTCATTTACCTGGATGTTTTTGTTAAGATTGTTGTCACTACTTTTTTTGGATACTTAATTTGTTTTACATAACACCATGCTTTGGATTTTGTTTATTAAGTTCTCCTGTTATTTTTTCATATTTCTTAGCCACAAAACAAAGAAAAATAAAATTACAATTTTGATTTATTTAAGCTGTTTTCAATATATTGTCATCACAAATGGTCATCTTAAGCAGAACACCATGCTTCTAAGCTGCTGCCAAATATCAAAAATAAATAAATGAAGAGAACCTCAGTTGCATTTGTATCGTGGACTTAATTCTGTCTCATTAGAATGTTTAATTCTGCACCTTGAGTCATGATCATCTTTATAGTATTCACACAATTCTTTGTGGATTCCAAAAAAGACCCTGTAAAACTGTGAGGCTTTGCCAAAACCCTGTTTATTGATCATCCAGTTGACAAAGTTATATAAGAGGAATGAGCGTTCATAGCCACTGTCCGTACGTGTGAGTGAATATTTGCTGCCATTTGAACAACATTTTCTATACAGTTTGCGCAGGAACTGCAAATATGGAAAAGACAATGTAGAAAGTTAGCATTTTTAGCTCATGTAGAGACGACACACATCACTCCAGTTACGCAAACTTACCCTCTGTCTTTGGGATTTCACTGCCAGATGGGTTAGAACTGCAGCGCACAGTTAAACACAGTCAAATTAGTAACAGTTAATTTTCCAAAATTTCATACATACTAAAAAAAACAACAACCAGTGTTAATTTCGTCCACTATGACAAACGAAAACGAACAACGCCCAATCAGCGCTGATTTCGTCATAAACATGAGGGGGGAAACAGATGAAGACGAGAGCCAATCAGAGCATCGTTTGCTTTGAAGGCGGGACTTGTAAACAAGGAACGAAACATAACGAATATGTCCAGGAAGTACGGCGAAGAAGACAATCTGCTTGTGGTTTTATATTATCAAGTTAACGTGACCAAAAATGTCCTGTGTCTTTTAGGCAGATACATTGACCCACTTTACATTTATCGTAACAGTGACGTTTCTTTTCTCTTTCCAATTAATACTTTTTAAATATTATAAAGTGCAATTTTAAATGTGAAAATGAGGGTTTCCATGGGTTGATGTGGTTCAATTATAATGAATTATCAGCAGTTTTTCTTTTACAATTACATCAAACGACTGAATCAAAATTAACACTGGCCACAACTAAAAGTCAAAGTTGCTTTTCATCAACTGTATCAAGAGGCAAAATAAGAGACAAAGCCCCCAACCCAACCAAAGCATTTGTATGTCAGCTAAATGTGGTCGAGGCAAAATAAGAGACAAAGCCCCAACCCAACCAGCATTTGTATGTCAGCTAAATGTGGTCACAGAATTGACTGAAAATTAGGACACATTATGGGTTTATTTGTAGAGCTTCACAAGTCCAATAACAGGTTTCCTAACGTAGGTAAAGATCATATTTAGCTCACATTATTTGACCATTAGTCAATTAGTCCTGGCCACTCTGTACCCATGTGGCCCAATTCATGACATGCTGGCTGAGAGAGAAAAATCAATGTGCAGGGTCTTTCCCAGTCGACTCTCCAATACAAGCAGCATGCGATCAGCTGATTCTACACTTCCCCACTGGCAACACATGAGGAGTGTGACGCATTCATTAAAATGGCTTTTCAAGCACTGATGGCAGAAAAAAAAAAAAAAAAAACCCAGAAGATCAAGGCTCTGCCCACATGTGATTTGTCACATTAGGGTTTGCTGTGAACTTGTCTGTGCTGGAACTTTTGGGGTTTTGTTTTCAGGGAAGACAAAAGCTGTGTTAATCACAAAATTAGTCAAACTGCAACACTGGGGAAAAAATAATCATTTTAAACTGATTCAGTCTTTGTTTTCCTCTTCATGTCAGATTCATTCAGCATGCACAGGCCTGTCATCCACAAGTCTGCCAAAGGAAATCTTACTTGGATGAGGATTTTACACAATTTGTGAATTTTTTACCTGTTTTGAATGATGATAGATTAGTCAGAAACATTCATTTAAGGTTCATGTACAAGTCTGTGTAGGAGAGACACACTGAGAAGAGATGTGTACTTACTCAGGGCTATTAGAATGCCAGAGACAAACATTATGATCGCAAGGACGAGCCCCGTGGTCCGCAATGTTTCATAATCTACAAGAGACAAAACCACACAGGACTTGACTACACAGTACCTCACAAGAACACAGTGGCATTACAACATCTCAGGTTGCGTGTATTTAAGTGTTAACTTACCATAATCAAAGTCACTCCTGTCCGTGAACATCGTTTCTGCAGGTAAAAAAAAGAAAAGTTGAAATATGCCTTACTAGTGTGTTTTTCCATCCCATTAATTGCAATTGTAGGTTATGCAGTTCTAGATCTGCAGACTTGGCTCCACAAGTCCTCAGGAGTATTTCCCCCCCTCAAGTGAGAGTCTCTCAGTGCAGCATCTTTGCTCAGCAGAAACAATGCATCATGAGAAGCAGTGCAGCAAAGACAGCAGAGGTATTAAAAGTAGAAAAATAAAATAAAAAATATATATAGTCTAACAATGCAACTCAACAAATTATCTTAACTTAACTAGCTTGTAAGTACATAGAGTAACTTATTGGATTATCAAAGATATGACAGTTACCTTTGTCACGATCACATGTCTTTCTGTGACACAAAACTGGTCAATTTTATTGAACATGCAAAATAAATATCCTTGACATGCACTTATCTGGGAAGATTTAATTGAATCTATGTTTAAACAGCTTTAAGCACATTTCACACCAGCAACTGTTCACAAAACTAACAAGATAAAGTACATTTACATCCAGTTGCTTTGTCATAACAATCACAAATCTAACAGGGATTCTTTAAAATACGATTGCCTATATTTTTACTCTGCAAAAAAACATAAAAAGGATACAAACCTGTGGTGGCCATGGCTGCACAGCAGAGATTTGAGGAGGTCTCAGTGAAATTAGGCGGGTTGCTGGGTTGCAGATAAAGACGAGCAATGAAAAGAAGGCTGGACTGTTCTCCGAAGCGTTTAACAGGGAGCCCTCTGGTGGCCACGGCAGAATAAAACGCAACCACAATGGTGCAAACAAGGGAGCGGGTGCTACACTTCTCATAGGGACACATCTGCTAGGGTGTGGACCGGTTGGTGGGGGCCCGGGGGTGACACACAGTAGGCATTATAAGGATATTTTAGCAATGTAAACAGCAAATAATTCACAAAAATACAAAACTGACGAGACAACATTAGAATCATTATTTATAATCACATAAATAAAGCTGGACAATAATTTTTTTTGGCAGTAAACTGTTCAGTTGCTTGAAATGCAGCAGTTTTGTGTCAGAAGTGGAAGCTGGCAGTAAACTGATCAGTTGCTCGAAATGCAGCAGTTTTGTGTCAGAAGTGTTCAATGCAGTGCAGGCAGCCCCTCTCCCCCCTCCCATCTTTTCTGCAGCTGCATGGAGAAAATACAGCCTACATATGCAGCTTCTACATCCAGTACACAGCTACAGCTACATGATCTGTCCCTTAAACAGCAGTGAGCACATACATCTACCAAACAACGTGTAATGTGAATACTTTTTCCTCGCCAGAAATACTGCATAATGCAGCATAAATCATTCACACACCCACAGTCACTGCTGGTAGTTACTTCTGCATGTGTAACCAAACTGTCTGCAGTGTCAGCAGAAGCAGGGATGCAGCAAAAAGGGGCTAGGGGCTAACATTCAGGTCTGCTTTAGAGAAAGAAATAAGGATTAACACAGATGCATGAAACAGTAAACAACATTCAAACGTATGATTTATTTTCACTCCAGTTTGGTAGTCACAAAAAAAAAGACAAATGCAGATAATACTATTGATTATATAATAATGAAGCTACTGAATCTATTGTTGGTTAATATATTTCAAAACAAACACTGACATGAAAACAGGAGTATGATTACATTATAAAATGAAGAATGCCTCAGTTCTTGATTGTCTTCCGCTTTGCTTTGTGGTAAATGGTGACCCCTACTGGTGCCATTCACCAATGCTGTGTAAGACAAAATCATTTTGCAATTGAATTTACATTTTGACAAAAACGAATACAAAACGTTTGATAAAATACTTACATGGTTTTCATTGTTCCCCTACAGTGTTTCTTACACGACAGAAATGTTAAGAGTTTGAGTGGTAGCAGGAACGTTTGACTCAATATTCAAGTACAGTACAATCCTTACTTCCATGCTCAGTTAGCATGCTAACTGCTAGGAGGCTCAAGTAACAAGGCTGGATATGAAAGGAGTTAGCAATTTGTGCTAAATATGCGACATAACTGTCTTTCAATTTGAAAGAGTGGAAACATTTCTGCTAATTAAAATATTCAGTGTATCATAATGTGACAAAACTGACACAAAACCGCAGCACAAAGTCAGTTCTCAAATATTTTAAGTCTTAATTACATGACAATAGATTGACCTATGTCCAAAATTATCTTGCAATATGTTACTATTACAAATGTAGGTTAATTAATATAACATTTAAAACTACATATAACAGTAAGTGAAAATATTTAAAAACTTTTTACTTTCCTGAATATAATTCTTACACCATGGGAGTTTCCATTGAAGATGTTGAAATCTTCACTTTTCTAAATATAACTTTATATAACAATGAATTATTTACCCTGTGGAACACCCGACTCTACATTCTTGGAACTAAAAAAAAGAAAAAAAGGAAGAATTATTTAAAAAAAGAAACCAAAAAACAAAAGTGACATTAAATTTGTATTGTGTCCACTGACCACTGCCACACTTACCGAGACTTGTCTTTTTTCTTACAGGAAACTTTTCTGCCTTTTTTTTTTTTTTTTTTTTTAAAAAAAAAAAAAAAAAGAAAAAAAGGAAGAATTATTTAAAAAAAGAAACCAAAAAACAAAAGTGACATTAAATTTGTATTGTGTCCACTGACCACTGCCACACTTACCGAGACTTGTCTTTTTTCTTACAGGAACATTTTCTGCCTGTTTTTTTTTTTTTTAATAAAAAAACAAAACAAACAAAAAAAAACCCCACAAGTAAATAAGAGACACAACCCAAGCTGGTGATGATGAAAATCACAGAGAATCAAACAGATTCACGTGGACCTTTTAAAGAATGTTGTAACAACATTGATTGGTGCCAAGGTGTATTTACTGACTAAACAACCTCATAATATATCCAACTGTTTAATTAAATAATACTACTGTTGAGAGCCAAACGAACTGATGGTTGAGGCCATAGAATGTAAATGTAAAAGAGAGAGAAAAGCAGGACTAGAGTCCCTCCCTCTTCCCCTCTTTTAGAGAAAAATATCGCAAAGATATTTTGCAAAAAAATAAATTCATCCCACAATGGGGGAATTCACAGTGTGAGTCTGTCCCACACAGGCTGCCACTGGAGGCGCCATTAAGTATGAGGTTTTTCTGGGGCTCAAACCCAGGACCTTCTGTGTGTAAGGCTCAGAGGGTAGAACAAACAATATAATCTACAGAGATTACTGCTCAAAACCAAGACTGTTGTTCGGGAAATACCAGACCGAACTACTGACCTACATACTGTGAAGACTAAAAATAAAGCTGTGGTTATCTTCAAAGCTAACATGTGTCATGTCAATCAGACATTTAGACAGTGAAGTAGACAAAACCACTTTACCCTTTTAAATTTTATTCCCGCTTATGATTTGAATAACTATCAGCTATGCTAATATCCTGGCTTTTCTGAAGCACATCAGAGGCGTTTAGGTTTTTGCTGATTGTTTCTTTCTTTGGCACATTTATATACTTTTTTTTATTAGTTAATTACCAGAATGACTGCTGGTACTGGGAGAAGAAAAAGAACTGACTGGAATACAACAGTCTTTATTGTCATTACAAACCACACCAGTCCTGTTCAACAAATTATCTTAGCCAATTTAGCACAGATGCACAAAACCACAACAATTAAAACTAAAAATTAAAAGCAGTGGTGAAGTTGACAGGTTGGCAGCTAGTGAGCACAGCCACAACTTGTGTTATTTATATCACATACTGTGCCTTTAAATAGAGCAACACATTCTTCTTTTCCTTTAGATTTGATTCTGTGCCCCTCCACTATTTATTGTGTCATCAGCCTACAGCTGCTCTCAGTGTGGAACCCACAGTGTGATTCAGGGAGAGTGTGCGTCCCAGTGAATTATTTATTGGTTTGGTTTTGATTTCAGCGCCACAGCTTGCAGTAGCAGATCCTGTTGGCAGGGGGCAAAACAAAAGCTCCTGGAAGGACAGTGAGAGAGAAAGGTGATAACCTGGCCTGTGTAAAGGGCTGCTGCCTACACTGACATCTACACCAGCAGCGGTGAGACAGTACAAGACGGGAGTGAGAATAACAGAAGCCTGTCTGTTGTACAGCAGGGTGTACCTTCTGGAGACTGTGAGGTCAGCTCACATACACAGAGATCACAGTGTAGTGACATTTACTCTCCATTTTACTCATTTAATGTGTGCGAAAGAACAAAGGCACTTACTGGCCACGAGGATGATGCCCAGGAGGCAGAGGACCACTGCAAATATCAAGCCACCAATTCTTAGAGACAAATAATCTGAAATAAAAAATAAAAAAAATTAATAAAATGAGACAAAATATTAGACAAAATATTTTCTAGAGATGAATAAGGTGTCGGATGAAAATGGATGGATGGATGGATGGATAAGGTGTAAGAGAGCATTTAATTACGTTTCAACTAAAGGGCGGCAGTACAAGAGAGCCCTCTAGTGGTCAAGTTGGAATACGACATATTCCTAAGAGCTGCAGTCATACATTGTATAGATTCATACTGTATAGATATACATGATAACATTATGACCAACCTCGAAAGGATTTTCTTTCTTCCCAAAATCTGATATAAAAAACAAACTTGATTTCAGTTCTTAGAGGATGTCAGAAACATGTTCCAGAAACAAAGGAAAGGAATTCTCTGAAGGAAACACTTCTGCACCAGTGCTTAGACATAAATGAAGGATATGTAGACAGAGAACTTGTTGGCAGAGAAACTGTTATTTTTATAAGGAAACTCAAATGATCTGTGTCTGCAAACCATCTGAACCACAAATGTCAAACTTAAGGCCCACAGGCCAAATGTAGCCCACCACATAATCTTGTGTGGCCCAGTGCAGCTACAGTATTTATGCATATGGTTGTCTCAAAATAAATGTTTATGCTTATAGTTTTTGGATGGGTAAAAAGCAGTGTTCAATAAATAGCCAAAACCTCAGACTGCATTTAAAATTCCAGCCCTTTGCATGATTAAGTTTGAGACCCGGGTTCATTCCAACCTTGTGATTGATGTGAAGATATTTGTGTAGGTTTACAGCAACACTTCAGTACTGTGTCCAGTACTGCGGTTGATTTACTATAGGTGAAATATATAACCTCTTATTTCTTTGGTTGTAATCAGGAGTTAATTATGCCATATGCGTTTCCACAGAGATGTTAAAAGGTCAAAACATTTTGTACAAATGTCAAATAGAGAATCCATTATTTCTTCACGATAATCTTTGACAATAATAATTAACTAAAATGATGTTAATGTGTTACTTCTCGTTTCCCTGCAGCCTGATACTGATGTGGACCCCAGTGTGTAGATATAATACATATGCAACAGTACTGTAAGTGTATACAACTGATGAAATAGAACAGAGTCAACATGTGACTTTAGTAAATGTCGGGTTCTGTTGTCTATATCAAAGAGGTATAAGAAGACAATGCTAGTTCTCCATCAATGCTACAACCTCCTTAAATAAGAACTAAACCACAGTTTGAGGTATAAGAAGACAATTAAAGAACCATTGACATCCGGTGCTAGTTCTCCATCAATGCTACAACCTGAAGGTGCAGACTCTTTCCAGCTGTTTCCTGTGTAGCGTGTGTGACTAAATAACATGTTCATGTTGTCAACACTCACCGTAAACAAAGGGATCGTCTGCGGGGGAGAAGAGGAGAGGAGAGGTTCAAAATGAGAGGCAGGATTATCTGCAGACTCACTTCAGAGAGCACTTACGATATGACAGCTCAGCACTTTTATACTGGCGGTAATTCATTAGCTGGTTTGGTGCCAGCACCAATTTCTCCAGTAAGTATGTAGGCAGCATAAGTGAATTTGACTTTTCAGGCTTTTATTTGAATAAGACCCACCTGAGTAATCATCCGCTGGTGAGGTTGGAGAAAAAGAGAAGAAGAAAAACAATTAGTTTCTAACATATATTCACTTTTTTTTCCCTTGTAATTGAAACTACGTGTCAGCAAAATTCTTGCAGCAGAGAATAATCGCAGTGTCTTCACACTAAATCTTTATCATCGCACATCCTTAAAAAGGCAATTTATTACAGCAAACACTAAAACCCTGTAGGAGAAAATCTGACTTAGTTATGTTGTGCTTGTTTTATTATATATACATACATATATATATATATATATAGTCGATTTGGACTGGACCGTCTGGATGACATTTCACCCCCCCACTATAGTTGTAGACTGTAGTGGAGTGGAAATCATTTTGGAAAATCTGCTTTACATCAAACTGACATCAATGAAGGGAGAACAGAACGGAGGAGCAGGATCTACAGGAACAATGGAAAAAACCTGGTTACCATCTGATTGAGTGATTGTAAAATAGCCAAAATAATGGCCATGTAAACTGTACGAGGTACTGACCGGTACTGCAGACCGGTTGTTGAAGTATCATTAAGGGTCATAAAAATAAAACATTTTTTATACCTCTGTTAGTATTAGAGTCTCAATGATTATTTTTTTAATATTGCCAGATTGTCTTTATAGGAAGTAAATTAGTAAAAAAAAAAAAAAAAAAAAAAAAAGAGCCCCATTGTGGCCCAGTACCAAATTATCTATGGACCAGTACTGGTCCACGGACCAGGGGTTGAGGATCCCTGCCATAATTCACAAAAATGTGACACTGACCAGTCCAGCGGAGACAGAGATTTACCGACTGTTTCTCTGTCAAATGCTGACCTTGTGACACAGACACATCTTCCAGTTTAACACAGGGGAACTCATCATGAAGCAGTGCAGGAGAGGGGTGTGGCTCCCAGTGTAGAGTAAGGAAATAATAACAGGTACTGTAGTAAAAGACACACTCACCCAGAGCAGGAACCACCAAGGAGGGGAGTGCGAGCAACACTCTGAGAACCATCGTTGGACTGAAAATAAAAAAAATAAATTCAAGAAACACAAAGAAAATAACTCACTGACTTAAACTACTTTAACTACAGATGATGAAACTTTTTTTTTAACCTAAGAAACTTAAAGGATTTAACAGTGGGCTGCGATCAATCTCAGGTCCCAGAGCAGCTGAACCAGACATGCAGCAATAGCCTTGTAGCCCTAGAAGTGTCAATGCTTCATTCAAAACATAATTTCAGACCTATCGCTATCAAACTCTTACATTCACATAGAACCAGCTGACTTGACATTTGATGAGTGTTGGTACAATGGGATATTCTGGTGGTTTTCTTTTTTTTTAAACAACAGCCAATGTCTTTTTCTTGATAAACTTTCTCCTATGAGCCTAAATTTAGTTGGTTTGAGGTTCTGTTGGTCTGCTGTGGATTCAAGAAGTACTTTTCTCCTTCTTCCTAAACCCATATTTACTGAGTGTGGAGGAGAAAGGGTCAGATAGCAGTCATTGTTGTGACTGCTTGTGTAACTGATTACGTTTGAGAAACATTCCATCCCATCCTAGTTTGACCTCGGACAAACATATAGTGTAATTTGTGGTTTTCTCTGAGGCCTGGAACTAAAACACTGAGGTTTCATGTAGGAGCCTCGGACAAGAAGAAAATCTTGAAGAAGTGTTCTTAATTAAACCAAAGAGAAGTTTAAATCCTGACTTTTACACACATGTACCACAAATCAACACATCATCAGTATATACACTTATATATACTGATATCACTGCCCCCGGACTGTGAAGGGACAAGGTCTATTTCAGACTCTGTGGCTCAGAATTTAAGGCCAGCAGAGCAGTGCACAGCAAAGATGGTGTCGAGTTGCGATTGGTATTTGGCCAGTTGGTTTGGGTTAGGGTTACAAGGTCGTGGTTTACCCATGCACCAGCCCACCCCCCACCCCCCCACACACCCCCTTGAGGTGTTTTCTCTCCTTGAGTATTACAAAGATCTCTCAACTTTTTATGCTTTACGTACACCTGAGTGTTTAAAGGCTCATGGTGTAATTCCACCTGTGACCTGAGAGGCATCAGTGGGTCAGCAATTGCATTAATCCAAAAGGTTTCTTAAGGTCCTTCTGCTTCTGGCTGTATGATGACAGAAGAGAACAATTTGGCTTTACTGACTATAACAATACAGTGCAGTGTAATCAACAGAAACTGGGCAGACAGTGTTTCAGGATAACGGTGGTCTAGATGGGACAAGCGTGAGATAATGACTGCACTTAGAGAAACAGTTATATGAGCGTCTGGACTAAATGCTAGCTGGGAATTCTGATACTACAACTCTCGGAAAAATGGGATTATCATCTGACTTAAACATTACACTTTTACACAAACTGTTCTCGACATAGTTGGACAAACACAGCAACCGCAACTGCTGACTGTATTGGTGCCTTATTTGACTTGCAGTGGTGCATATTACATGATTGCCCACCCTGGGGCTTTTACCTCCTAACACTATAGGTACAATGAATTATGAATTCAGCTGTCAGGGCATGCCCTCAACTAACAACATGACCTTAAAGGAGAGCATATTTCCCCAAGACAATTAAAAGAAGTAGAATATTTTATAAAGCTAATCCGTTTTTAAAATGTAAGGTATGCTACAGGCTAACTTGCTAAACGCTGGCTTGTCATCCAGAAACTGCCCTTACAAACTACAATAATCTAAATAATTAAAAAAAAAAAATCACATTGGCACAACAGCAGATGTGGTGGTATATCATTCATAATTGTGTACAATTCAATGGCCGAGAGAGGTTATTACTGTAGTTGGCATTATCTGTGTACGTGTACTAGCTTACTAACCACGCAAAATGGCAAGGGTTAGCTTTCATACGATAATTTTAACACAGATGACAAAGCCCTTGTCATAGACGACAAAAACAACCTCAACTCTCGTGATGATGAATTTAAATACATCTTTAGGTCCAAACATGTTTGAAATGTTAGTCCTGAAATTAGACCGTGCATAAGAACTAGCAGAACTTGCCCCTGCTCACCCAGAGCCCTGCTAATACAATCATGTATGAGCACCTGGGGATGTGAACGTGGGAAAAGAAAACCAGGACCTGCCCATCAGGTTGGATTCAACACTTACAGTGCGAGTTCCAACAGGTACTGATTCAATATTGTTAGTAAGATGTTTTCAGTAATGTATACCACATGTCTATTACTAAATCTAGATTGAATCTCAGGCACGTCTCACTAGACTTATACTACAGTTAGAGTCTTTGCTGATGATGCTACGGTCTCTGTCTGAGGGCGTCCTCTGCAGAACATGTTGTTCATCTTACAAATTAATCATAAAATACAAGGGCACGTCACGTGAGCGACAGTTCATCACACACGGTAACGTCATGTTATCAGAAATGTTGTTATTCGACAATGCTAGCACTGTGTGATTGACTGGATCATAAAAAATTTGACAATGTTAGCAAGTAGCTAACACTGTGTGATTGACTGGATCATAAAAAGTTTACAAAATTTTCTACTGAACGAATATATATATATATATATATGTTTATATATATATATATATATTACACAACGAACTCTATGGCGATCATATAGTAGTAAAGTAACTGCTCCGAAAGAATAAGGAGGAACATGCAGCTGTGAGTTTATCAGTAAATGAATAAACACATTTGTAGCAATTAAATGGTCACGTGGTCAGAGAGGCATTTAGGAGCTGTCGGTAAGACATGCGGTGTTAAAAGTCAACACGAGCGTAGACACAGAAAACACGTTTATGAAATTGTTCATAGATTTACCACGCTGTACACATTATTGGCGACATTAGCACATTTTGTTTCTCATTTCTTACCACAAACTTACCGTGTTTTTATGGCTTTCTAAACGTCGGTGAAACTGCTTTCCGCCAAACTTGAGTCAAACTTTTTTTTAAACTTGTAAAAATAAACCCCACGTGACAATAATATAAAACCGCTTCATATGACCATGGACGAAAGTAGACTAAAAACGAAATACTCTCATGCGATGCATTCTGTGCAGATTGTAGAAATGACTGTGCAGCTCGACCAAGTTAGAGCAATAACGTGATCCTCAGTGTTGTCTCAAGAAAGAGGAGAGGGAAAAACGAGGAGGAGGAGAAGGAGGAGGAGTAAGGCGGGGGGCCTGCTCTCCCTGACACCCCACTATTTTGTCGTACACTTTTTTTTGCTATATAATATATATAGTAGACACACACACAGAAACATGTAACATATACAGTATATCCACACACACATATCTAAAGTTCAACCTTCTACACACATATACACATGTGCTTCTCCTGTGTCTTATTGTGGTGTGGGTGAGACGCCCCTTTGTCCCCCAACAGTAACATTAAGACAATGTTTCTTAGCTGCACACAGCATTTTTTTTATTGAGACCAATCCCACAATAAAGAAAATGCATTTTGATTGGATGTTGGTTCCTTTTTGTGGTCATTCGCACAAAAAAGGAAAGGAAAGTGATTTTAAGGTTTATTGTCACCACTAGATGGAGGTGTTAGCCAAGAATGGACCACATTTTCCCTCCTGCTCCATGATGAACAAAGAAATCAGAAATCAAGTAACCACCACCGACCGCCAACACCACATTATGAATCTGAAGAAAGTGGAAGAGATATAATGAGACAATCTGGATGTAAACAAGTCATCTTCAGATGAAAGACTTCACATTCTTCTTCGTCCTGTTTAATGGGAGGTGAAAAGCAGAGGCGTTAGCCACATTCTGCAGCTGTTTATTTCACTTCCTTAAAAAACAGCATTTGGATTTTACCCTCAGAAACAGATGCCTTCCACTGCCACACATCCAGTATCACTGCAGGCCGCTGGAGTGGAAAAGAAACAGTGCAGTCAAAGGGCAGTGAAGCAGAGTAGGTGTAAACTCAACACACGACCAGTGACACGTGTGAAAACGTATTTCAAAGACAGAAGCCCTAACCAGAGAATTAGCAGTGATTCTTAGGCTGCATTTGTTCTTCTTTGTCTATAGTCTTACTACATAAAGCAACTAATTTGACTAAGGAGCAGATACACAAAACTTAATCCTCCAAGGGACTGGCTCAAGGCTGGAGCACAAAACTAAAGACAAGGACTCAAATTAATACCGTACCCAGGTGAGTCTTAAGTGTCCTTGGATGACAAGCGGTGATTGGATTGCAAGCATGGCGGCTTTTGATGGCCAGGCCTGTCAGACTCACCTGCCTTTTAATCAGTAATTACCATAGGGGATTCTCTGGTATTTCTTAATTAAATTGGATCAAATGCAATTAAAAACCACACTCTCATTCCTTTAAAAGGGCTCTGTGGAGTCCTTGTTTAGTTCTAGCTGTTAAGAGAATAAGCGGTTGAATGGTCATAGAGCTGTCCCATCACCGGCTGATCTGTACTCGATTATTTCGCTGGTCAAATTAGGTTTGGAATTTGCATCATAAAGGGCACCTCAGGGTTCGGGACTTAAAGTTTTACTCGAGGCAAAATTGTAACGTAAAGGAAAGACGAGCCGTCGATGTTGCTGTGCTGTTGAATTAATCAGACATCACAGTGGGAGTCATGTGGAGAGGACAGCAAAGGCCCTGGTGTTGAAGGAGAATTTCATATACTCACCACTTGGAAAAGTCTCCAGCGCTCCAGGAGGTGACCACCGCAGACACATCAGTGGTCGTTTTACCATCTGCAGTCACCAAATCATCTTTGGTGTTGTGATTGAAATTGCCACAGGCACCGCACATTTTACCCGACAGTGTGCTGTCAGTCATGACAGTGACCCCCCGTGAAATTGAGTAAGTGACCCTGACAGTAGGCTTTCTCTCGATGATCAGCGTGTCCTCTGAAGTTCTGACAGATAAATTGCATGTCAATTTGTTGGGAAGAGAAACCCTCCTGCCGTTTACCTAGATATAGTAAAAAAAACAAAAAACAACACACATCAGGACTCAGACAATAAGGTATAAAAAGGTAAAGGTATAAAAAAAGTGGTTTGAATTATTCTTCATCCTTTCTCACCCAGGTCATATATTGGCTGTTTACTGTAACCACAAGGTCCTTGAAGAACACATAAACAGTGGCAACAGTGGGCGCTGCTCCTTCACTGCACACCCTGACGTCCACGACCACTCTGAACCACATGATGACTCGCTCGTCACACAGCGATGCCACCTCAAATGCACCACTAAAACCCATGGGTCCAGACAAGCCATCAAAAGATGTGAACTGTCCGTCTTGACTGATGTTGCAATGACTTTCTTTATCGTAGCAACCTCTGGCCCCGTCCTTCACGCGACAATCGTAACCACTGTCACAGGCAACCTGTTGACAACTCAGTAGACCAGAGGCCTGGCAGACACACCTGGACTTACAGTCTTTTCCCGTAATCACTTCTCCCACCTGGTAACATACATGGAATATGATGTAAAAGACTATCCTCAGTACTCAGTGAGGACAAATATCAACCATGGCAGCAACATTTTGAAAATTGATTTTGAAAGAGAGTGAATGATGAGGAATGAGTTTCAAATATACCGTTTACCGAAAAAATGGAAAACCAACCTAAAAAATACCAACTTTCTGATTGCCCGTTCAACAGGGGGCGCCATTGTGGATTCCTGAATAGTGATATTGGACAGTTTTTTGCAACATCTAACAATACGTAGATGACCTTTGTACGTTTTTTAGTATAAAGGTAGCAGTTCAGGGCCTTGTGATTTAGGGATGAGGCAGCAGATTGCAATTGTTAGTTTTTAGGTTTTTTTGTTGTTGTTTTTTTTTACAAATGATCACTAATTGAAAGTGGAGGCTGTTCAGACTCTTATTTTGATATTATTAAGACTCTTATTTTGGTATTTATTAGTATTATCAATATTATAATTATTACAGAGACTATATAAGGTTAAGTAAAAAGTCATCAACAGTTGTTTGTCTACCTAATTAAAACTAAAATGTATTATTAGTGTGTACATATACATTTAAAATATATTTTACTTATGTTTGACTTTGGGTATGGCAGTATATGTGGGTTTTTCCTGTTGTCATAACTTTGACGAGCCATACTAACAATATATTACAGTGACTTTGGTCAGGGCGCATTAAAGCTTCTAGAACATTAATTGTCAGTACTGGAGAGAGCTGTTGCCTAAATTTACAAAGAACTTGTCATCAACAAAAATGCATGTATGTTTTAAAAAAACCCAAACAAAAACAGACGGTACGTTTAAATTACTTTCATCGTTACTACAGAGGACAACAGGACTAATTTACCTTCAGATATTTCCCTTCATACAGACAGCCACAGTTTTCCAAAGGAACACATTGGGCACCGTCAAACACTAAGTTATCATCACACTGGCATCCTTCAAAGCAGCTTTCAGAACAGGCAAACGGAATCATAGGGCTGGCACAGGTTCCAGCACATGTGTCGACACACGCCTCATAGTGACTGTGTGCATGGCAGAAAGCAGCTAGAGGAGAAGAGAAGAAGGAGAAAATCATCTGTAAGTTTTTAAAAATTATTTTAAAGAACAAAGTGGATTAGATGATGTGTGACTCACGGCAGAAGGTACTGTTTCTCCACGGCTGGATTTTCACTCCGACACCCTGGCAGGCCAGGACATAGGCCTGCACACTGTCACACAGAGTTTCCATGATGCCGTTCACGGCACAAACATCAAACACACAATTGGACATATACGGCGCTGGGTCGATCTCGCTGTGGCAGGCTTTGAAAGGGCCGTTCGGTGCACTTATCATGCCGCAGGAGTCTGGAGTCCTGTATTTTGCAGCCTTGTCCTCCTCACACACTGGACACTTTCCTCCACATCCACCACACATGAACCCAGGCAGGTGGAACGCCCATGCCCTTCCGAACTCGTCAACGTCGGTGACTTGTTTGCCATCGGGAAGAGTGAAATCATCATCGGGCTTGTTGTTGTAGTTACCGCAAAGGCCACACATCTTTCCCTTATACGCGGACGGCACAATCACCTCAACATAGTAGACTGTGTCATAGAGGACCGTCAGCCCAAACTCAGTTCTGACAACTATATTGAGACCTTCCTGTGTTACAGTTATAAGCCCATCTCCCAGGGATAGAGGCAGGTTGAGAAGTTCATCATCAACCTTAATTGAGAAAATGGGAAATGTTAATTACTGTGGGACAAATTAGGAAACAAAGGCGTAAAATGTCAGTGTAAAGGACTTACAATGACTTTCCATGGCTTTCTCTGCTGGATGTTAATGATAAAACCATAGGCCGTCACTGAGACCGACTCAGTAACAGCCACTTTACCATTTCCAAACTTCTCATTTCCCTGAGTTACAGTGAATGGTGTCAGCTGACCATCATTATCGTCGCAAACTTTGGCCAACTCATAGACACAAGTGCCCTGGAAGTCAAATCTGCGCCCATCAAAGGAAGTGTAATGAGGGTCACCAGATGCAACACACTTGCCTTGGCTCTCAGACTGGCAGGCTTTTACTCCATTAACAATCTTGCAGACCTCCCCCTGCTGACACTTGGCGTTCTGACATGATACAGCACCGTTATCTCCACAGACACACTTCTGTCCACATTTATTGTCACGGTAAAAGACGTCTCCGTTCCTGAAGTACTGGCCATTGTATGAACAGCCGCAGTCTCTCACAGGGATGCAGGTACCTCCACTCTCCAGGTAGCCATCCTCACACTCACAGGCTTCTCTGCAATGCGCGTCACAGGAGAAGAGGGTTGATAAACTAGCACAGGTGGCTGGGCAGCCTGTGGCACACAAGGAGTAATGGCTGCTGGCTGGACACGCCATAGCTGTGGAAAAGGCATCAGAGAAAAGTTGATACAATAACACCATTTTAAACCGTGGGTTTTATATCTAGAAGACGTAGAAGACAATGGAAAACTCACGACAGTAGGAATTGTTTCTCCAGGGGTAGATGTTGACTCCCAGGTCCTGACAGGCGGTGACGTACACCTCCACAGCCTCACAAACTGAACCAGGGCGGCCCTGATAAATACAGGCGTCATACACACAGTCCTCTAGGTAAGGAGCCGGGTCAACGTGCTTGTGACATTCTCTGAAAGGCCCTGCTTTGTCAGCAATTATATTACAGTGCCTCTGGAGTTGGTACTTTTCCTTCTGGGAGTCTGAGCAGGACTGGCACTGTGCCCCCTGGCAGACTGATGAACAGCCTGGAGTGAGGGCCACCTGCCAGCTCTCGCCCAGCCTGGCTCCATCAGGGGCGGCCTGGCCGTTCGGCATGATCAGGTCATCCTTATTGTTTCCATTGTAGTTGCCACACAGACCACAGACTGCATTCTGGTAACTGCTGGGCAGAGTGACCCGCACAGTGCTCCGCCAGTCAAAGGTCACGGTGATACCAGCCTTTGTCTTCACAACAGCTCTGTGACCACTGTGATATATGGAAAGCTCATTTCTGTAGTCCAGCGGCAACAGAGTCACCTCTCCGTTGAGCTGAGGAGAGGAAAACGAGAGAACGGACAGAGAAATATTATAGGATATAAACAGCACATATATATTAGAGATGTCCAAAATAACTAACAGCGTTTTCCAAACTGTGTTGAGAGCAACCTCTGCAGGGCAAGAAAGGTAGTTACTGGCTACGAATACTATATATATGTAAATGTCTGCATGCTGCTTCTTTAATGCGTCATTTAATTAACCTTAACCTTCATTTACACTCTACAAATGATCACATTAACATCAGAAGGAAACACCGTACCAATGTGAGACAGAATATCTGTTGTTTATCTTTGCGTTCTGTAACTGTGATCTGTGGTGTTATGTTTTTTAATTATGTCTGCCATTCATTAATCTGCCCAACCTCATTGTGTCACTGTAAATAGTAATCCACATCCATACGTACCAGTATTTTGTTGGGGTGTTCCCTGGTGATAGTGATGTTGACTCCGTATATGGAAAACACAACTGTCCTAGTGTAGGACACGGCCCTGCTTCCCCGATGGTCATTCTGCACGCTCACCTTGAACGGCTCAAGTCCTGGCTGCTGAGAGCACAGTCCCACCAGCTGATACACACATGTTCCCTGGAAGTCAAACTTGTGGCCATCAAAAGTGCGATAGTGTGGGTCTCCTGATGCTGAACACGTGGCATGACTGATGGGTTGGCAGGTACGCTCCCCGTCCTTTGTGGTGCACCTCTCTTTGGCAGAGCAGGACGACTGGCGGCATTTCACCATGCCCTGGGTCGAGTCGCACTCACAAAGTTGCCTACAATCATCATCGGCCCAGAAGCGCTGACCGGGCTGGTAGTATCGACCCTGATAGGAGCAACCGCAGGTATTAGCTGGGACACATACACCAGCACTGAGGACGTAACCTGCATCACACACACAGGCCTCCACACAGACACCTTGACAGATTTGCCTCTGCTCAGGGAATGGGCAGGACGGCTGACATGGTCCGACACATTCTTCATAGTGGCTGTTAGGCTGACAGTTCATGGCTGGACAGACATTAAAAGTACATTAATACATTTTCCATTTATGTATCATTGGATTAAAAATGACATACACCTCAAAAATGTTATTTACACTTCCTGAAATTAGAACAAACCAAAAATAATCTGCAGGGTTTTTTGTTTACTTTGCCTTTTTTCCAGCTAAGATTTATCAATTTTCACAGCTCTAACAAATCTATACCATTGCAACATTTTTCAATAAAATACATAATAAATTATATAAAATATTATTTATAAATGTATACATTAAATTTAAATTAAATATTTATTTAACATATTTAAAATATTTATTGAAATTATTTTATTATAAATTATATAAATAAAATTAAATTTATGAATAAGTAATAAGTAATAGTAGTAATATAAAATAAATAGTAAACAAATCTTTCTTTAATTATTTTGTCTGGTATAAAAAGGATATCAATTTGAATAATAGAAATAATGTCACCTGATCCATATTATTTGTTTTTGGTTTGAACATTTCTAAAATAAGCAGAATTCTATTAGAAATGTCACAAATACTTACGGCAGCCAAACGTTTTCCTCCAGCCCTGTATTTGTATTCCTTCTTCACCACACTGCTCAGCATAGGAGGCCAATGCCTGACAAAGCATCTTCTTGTCTCCCTTATTCAGACATACATCATATACACAGCTCTCCATAAAGGGCCGGGGATCCACTTTGTCATGACATGCCTTGAACACACTGCTTTTCTTATAACTGAGTGCGCCACACATGGATTTCGACTCATAGAACTTAATCTGGCTGTTGTCACAAGCTGGACAGTTTTTCTCGCATTTGTCCGAGCACGGATGCTCTTTATCTTGCTCAGGTATTTTCCAGCTCTGGCCCCACTCTGTCACTGACGCAACGTCTTTCCCAGCTGGATTCCGGAGCTCATCACCTCTGTTGCCATTGAAGTTTCCGCAGAGACCACAGACACTGCCGTAGTAGCTGCTGGGCAGCTTGATGACCAGTTTCCAGTTCCAGTCATAGCTAACCACGAGGCCGAAGTCTGTGTCTATCACTGCTGTGCGTCCACTTTGAAACACTGACACTTGACCGTCGCCCAGTTCTATTGGGAGATTAAGACGTTCTCCATTCACCTGATGAACATTCACAAGATTGTTTTTTTCAGCCTCAGTTTGCACATTTATACATATTTGGTTAGCAAACAAACAAATGGAAATCTCACCATAACTTGTCCTATTTGGTTCTTGACTACAGTGATGTTGAACCCATAGACAGACACGTCTACTTCTCTGACAAAGGACACCGCTTTATTTCCACGGTTGTCATTTCTCTCAGTTACTGAGAATGGAACTAGACCATTCAGATTCCCACACGTGTTTGAGATGACATACTTGCAGGTGCCTTGAAAGTCAAAATTATAACCATCAAATGTATGGTAGTGGGGGTCACCCCAGGCCCAGCATGTGCCTGTGTAGTTAGGGCGACATACAGCTTCTCCCTTCTCATCATGGCATGTCTCTTTCTCTCGACATTTGACATCTTGGCATGGATCTGTAAAAAAAAAATTAAATAAAGTATTAAGCATTTACATCAATAACTGAATGGCCAGAAAACCAAAAATCAAATTGGTCAAAAAATAAATAAAAAATTAAGTTCTAAGGTAGTAATCTTGCCTGTGTTGTAGCATGCACGGATTTCTTTCCTGATCATGCATTTGGTTTTCTTAGGGCAGGTGTGTTTTTCACAAACAAGTCCTGTTGCTGGATTACAGGTGCATTTTATGTTACAGTCTTCTTCGTACACGGTCTCACCAGGCTGAGAAAGCAAAGAATATTCACGTTGCAGAGAAAGAACGATCCAATAAAAATAGGCTTAAAAAGATCCACAAAGCATCAGACATATTTTATTGTGTCACCCAAAACAAATTTCAAGTGTCTGCTAGTAAAGCCTGTCAATGAATCCTCGACTTATCAGAAATCCAACTGACTTCAAAGAAGTCAAGAAGGAATTTTTATCCAATGTATT